AATATTATCTATATATAGATATATATATCTATATATAGATAATATTTTTATTATGGTCGTCCACAGTTGTGAGCAGAACTTTTGTAGGTATTGGTATTTTTTAAGCAGACACTCAAAGCCAAATCCATGCAAAAATTCAAACTTTGAATTTCAGTTTTGATGAGTGAAGACAGGATTTTTATCAATATTTTCTGATCGTCACCAACATTCTGTATCCTATTGCCTTTTTTCCATCCCACATAATGTGTAATCTGTCCCATTCGGTTGCTCAGTTCCCCATTTCCCACTTTGATGGGGAGGAAACCAGACGACTACACGTCTGTGAGCATCTTGGTGATGTTTACATAGTTTGTGTTGGCCAGTGTGCAGTTGGCAGTCTTAAGGTTTTCCTCCTGAAAGTCCTCATTGCTGTTGTTCACAGCTTCCTGGATCTCCATATAGTCTGATTTGCTGATGGTGGAGCCGCTCCGGCTCTTTTTCAGCTCCTCTGCTGAATCAGTTTTAGGCACATTGACCTGCAGATACTGAGCCTGTTCTTCACCTTCAGTCTCACGGTGATAGAAGTAGTTAAAGTTGGACACAATGACAGGCACTGGCAAGGCAATGGTCAGCACACCCGCAATGGCACAGAGGGAGCCCACGATCTTGCCACCAATTGTAGTTGGGACCATATCGCCATAACCGACCGTCGTCATGGACACCACAGCCCACCAAAACGCATCCGGGATGCTCTCAAACTGTGACTCTGGCTCATCCGCTTCAGCAAAATACACAGCACTGGAGAACAGGATGACCCCTATGAAGAGAAAGAAAATAAGGAGGCCCAGCTCTCTCATGCTGGCTTTCAGGGTCTGACCTAAAATCTGGAGCCCTTTGGAGTGACGAGACAGCTTGAAGATTCTGAAAACTCGTACTAATCGAATGACCCTGAGAATGGCTAAAGACATGGCTTGCTGACCCGCCTGACCATCCTCTGCCCTGTCTGCCAGCTCTGTGCCAAGGGTGATGAAATAAGGGATGATGGCAACAATGTCAATAATGTTCATTATATTACCAAAAAAACCTGCTTTGCTTGGGCAGGCGAAGAATCGCACTAAAAACTCAAAGGAGAACCAAATAATGCAGAGAGTCTCCAGGACAAAGAAGGGGTCAGTGAAGTATGTGGATGTGTAGCTGATTATTGTGGTGTTGGTCTCAGGTGAAAATACTTTTGCCTGAGACTTGTGCATTCCCTCCTCGTCATTGCGGAAAATAGGAAGTGTCTCCAAGCAAAAGCTGACGATAGATATCAGGATGACCATGACAGAGATTATGGCAATAATCCTAGCAGGACCTGAGCTCTCTGGGTACTCAAAGAGAAGCCACACCTGTCTCTGAAACTCGTTGTCGGGAAGGGGTCGCTCCTCCTCCTTGATGAAACCTTCGTCTTCTCTGAACATCTCAATGGCCTCCTCACCCAGCTCATAGAAGCGAATCTCCTCTGAGAAGATGTCAAGGGTGACGTTGACTGGCCTTCTCAACCGACCTCCTGATTGATAATAATACAATATGGCGTCAAAGCTGGGTCTGTTCCTGTCAAAAAAGTACTCGTTCCTTAAGGGGTCGAAGTAGCGCATCCTCTTTTTCGGGTCCCCCAGAAGTGTTTCAGGGAACTGTGAGAGGGTTTTGAGTTGTGTCTCAAAACGCAGCCCTGAGATGTTAATGACCACCCTTTCACAGCACTCGTGGTCAGCTTCTGGGTCGTAATCCTGCGGGTGTCCTGGGTGCGCGGCCGCCTCATCAGAGGGGTCGCCTGCAGCAACAGTCATACTACAGGGGGAGGAGGCCTGCACTTTTCAGGAAGTCGGGGTCCTGCAGCCTGGAGAACTGCAGGTGGGAGCCAGGAGAGGGAGGGGGGGTCAACACAGTGAAGACCTGACGGCCACAGGATGTCACCTAGGACCCGTCTGCAGTCAGAACAGAGAAAGGGAGAGAGGGACAGAAAACTTGAAAAGTGAGTCAGCACTCAATAGTTCTGCTGAGTTCAGACATGTCAAGCATTTTTTTTTTCACCTAACGATTATAAAAAACAAAACCTATTTATTAAAATAAAGGTCAGGAATTTTGAAGAGATTGAGAAATAAATGCTCAATTATAACCTCATGAATCTTGATTTCTAATTACTATGCAGAAAAGCAGCCCCCATAGCTTATAAACCAATCTGATGCAGGAGAACTCCGGAGCTAGCTGCTCTCAATACGGGGACACTGATCTACTGCAACAGATAATATCTGCTGAAATGACCGGGAATATCTTTTCAAGTTAGCCAAACGTGAGCAGGGCAATGCAGCAGACACTAAATTCATACAGACAGCAGCCTGGCAGAGGTAGCTGCAGTTTTAACACAAAAAACACCTTTAAATGTAACAATCCAAATAAAGACTATAAATAAAATTTAAAAAAAATGCAGTGCGCTCACATAAATTGACTTGTTTAGTTCGAGTGGAGCATTTTGGACTTGAAATGGTCCCTGTTACTAAAAGATTCAAAAACATCTATAAATAATTTACCCACAGAAAAATGCTGGCTCCAAGAGAGACGGAGAAAATGTATTTCTGCCTGCACCTCCACAGCTTTGCAAAAAATAAATACAATAAATCAGGCGACATAACTGCAGTTCTGGGCTAACTATGCGTTTCCAAGTGAGGTGCAAAACCATCAGCTATGCAAACAGTCATGCAGTCTAACCAGAACCGAGGAGCCACAAAGCTGCTTCCTTTTGATTTTAGAGACATACCTGCAGATCTCTTCTTCATGTCTGCCTGAGAGCTGATGCACCTGCTGGAGTCAGGGACCAGCTGCGACAACCAGGTCCTCACTGCTCAAATGAAAAGGGAAAATGGATTTCCAGCTGGAGGCAGCCACTGATTTTCACCTTATCATGTTTTCTGCAGCATCCTTTGCCGTGAACACCGCGTACAGTCTGTGCGGGTGTGTCCTCGCTTCCCCCCCCTCCTCCTCCCTGACTCCTGTCCTCCGGGTAGGCTGTCGTGGGATGGAGATCGGGGGGCAGAAAAAAGGGGGTGAGGGAGGGGGGAGGGAGACGGTCGAGGAGGTGCTGGTGCTCCCCTTATTAAGCATAAAGTGCTGGGCTTAGCAGAATGATTCTCTTCCACGCGTGTGACGACCGCAAAGGAAAGGTGGGCTCAAATTGGACCCTGAGGGACAACATCTGCAGAATGAAAAGGAGAGCTCACAATCCTGTAACCGCAAAAAAAAAAAAAAAAAGATCTGAATAAAGCAGCGATGAATAACGAGTCCTCGTTGGTTTTCAGAAAACCTGTGTCACCCAGCCAAGATCCATGTGGCTTTTGAAATCAGCAGAAGACTCAACAGTCTGCGCTGCAGAAAGCCTCCTGCAAGCCTGCATGGTGGGCAGAGCCGCATCTCCAGACACTGACTTGAAACGACATGCGTGAAAGTCGTAGTGGGCTTGAAGATTATGCAATTTCACTAAGCCAGCCCCCCACATACGCACACAATTGCAGCTCGATAAGAGGTGGGGATTTATTTTATTATTTTTTTATTTTTTAAGTGACAGAAACAGGTGAAACCTCCATGCAGAAGCTGGTATTGGCTACTGTATTCAAACCTGCAGTCAGGCGCTGCTGTGCATACCAAGAGATGTGCTGGTGATGGAGCAGGAGAATCTGCACTACTGCAGTGGGGCTGCACAGTATGGCTTTAAAAAAATGTTGTCATGTATTACAAATAATTGGTGTGTTGTCATGGAAGAAAACATTTCTTCTTCCGTAAAGACAAATCTACGCATGCTGCAACAAACATCACACTGTGTTGGTCCAATTATCACAGGTGTCTCAGCCTGCACAGAAGCAACGACTCTCTCTCTCTCCCTTTTCTATGCTGTTGAAATCTTTCCTGGCAACAAGCTGTATGAATAATAGATGCGAGGGGGACAAAAATAGAGCAAAACCTCCACTGGTGAGCCTGGCTATATTCCTGAATGAAGAACAAAAGTGATCAATCGCTAATCTTTTCAATGATGATTTTTTTATCCTGAAGCAAGAGAGCCCAGAGATCCTTGGGAATCCCTCAGCCCTGAAGGAGATGGAGGAGAAGGGGGAGAAACGGGAGGGTTGGAGTGACAGCAGGTTCATTTGTTTGAGACTCAGCTTTGCCAAGCTTACTCTTGGCAGCCCTGATCTCCCTGACTGCCAACCTCTTCCCACTGTCCGTCTGTCTGCAACACATGCAGGTATACCTCTTACTGTCTCTTAATGGCTTTTCTCAGTTCCAGCACAGCCATTATTTATAAGCCACGGGCCTGTTACAATAACTGTAAAAGCAAGTTCTGTTTGCATTATATACAGGCAGCTTGCTGTAATTAAATGGAAATTCTCCGAGCACTGACAATGCTATGAGTGCCTTAATCACTCGAGGACTTGAGAATAACTTAAGTTGGAACATGAAGGTGTCAGTAGTGCATTTGTTTCCAAGAGGTATTGATTATCCAGACTTGTCCTCATCTCCATCTGATGTTGGTTTGGCTCACGGACTGGTAGCAGCAAAGAAAGTCAACTATCAAAAGACTGGATGATGATTATCACTGATAAAACCTTTTTCTTTTTAATTGAGAGTTTATTCATTTTAAGCACAACAAAGATGTATGTTAGCAATGTCATAAAAACTGGTAAAAATAAATAAGTAAGAAACAGTCTGCATATTTTTTCTTATGTCCATGCAAAATGTTTCCTTAAATTAAAAAAAAACGAGATATATTTGAGAATGGCTGCCCATCCGCCTGAGATTTAGTCCATTGTTTTGTTTACATTGAGTGCATACCCACGTGTCAGGATCTGTGTTGATGTTGAGTATGTTTCTAACTTTTTGTGCTTAATGGTTCATTTTATTTACATTTTGTGATAGTTGTGTGTGTTTCCATTCTTTCAGCCTTCCTTTGTGCCATCATTCAGTCATGCTGAGTACGCCCACTCTCACCTGTGTCACTGCGTCATTGTGCACAGCTGAGCATTTAACATTCTCACACCAAGTCTGGTTTCGATACCTTGGTGCCTCCTCCCGGTGATTTTTCTTTCAAATGTTTTGTAAGTATTTTGTTGCCACATTTAATTTTAAAGTTTCCTTTAAGGGATTTTCTTTAAAACATATATTTCAAATGTGATGCAAAATGAACACATTTTACTTTGCATACATTAAATTACTTTTTCAAAAAAGTAAGTTTTTCTTTAAATTTCTGATTTACTCATTTGATATTTAATAAACACTGTAGTTTTTTTTTTTTGTCCGGTGACAAAAATAAAAACTTGACAAGAACCGTAACATTTTAGTTGATGTTGAGGTTTAACGCTTTGTGAAAGAAAGACAATTAAATCCTCATCATTTTATATTTGGCATATTTTATAGAAGTTTTAAAAGGTTTAAACAAGTTTTTGATCCAGGATTCACCCCAGAATCTGTTCTTTTTTCATATGTGCAAGTATATAGGTGCAACAGGCAGTGAAATGCATCCTAAATCACTTATGTACAGTTCAAATGATGCCAAAAATAAAAAAAATTAAAACAACAACAAAGAGACACATGGAGAAAGACGATGGATGTGTGTTTAAAAAAAGGTTACAAGTACTGAAAGTGCTGATGCTGTATGCATTTCAATACTTTTTTAAGACTAATAAAATCCATCCATCCATCCATTCTCTTTACTTGCTTCTTCCTTTTTGGGTCGCAGGGGTCACTGGTGCCCATGTCCGACTATCACTGTGTGAAAGGAGGGATACACCCTGGACAGGTCTCCAGTCCATCACAGCGACACATAGAGACAAACAACCATTCACTCTCTCACACCTAGGGACAATTCAGAGTTACCAATCAGTGTAACATGCAATGTTTTTAGTCTGTAGGAGGAAACCAGAGTACCCAGAGTAAACCCATGTATGCACGGAGAGAACATGCAGGCTCCACCCAGAACGGCTCCCCGGACCGGGCTTTGATCCGGCGACCTTCTCGCTGAGGGTCAGCAGCAACTGTGCCACCCGACCAATAAAGTCATTATACATTTTTTAAGTCAAAATGTAAATAATCGCTATACTTTCATGGTTCTTTATAGTTATAGCAATTTTTTAAAAGTACTCTGTCAAACACAGTGTAATTATTATTAATTATTCTATTAGACAATTTTAATAATGTCTTAAAGCTACAAAAAAAAAATCTAAGCAGCAGAATTAATTTATCCCTTGTGAAAAATATCCCATGTTTACAAATGGCACAGAAGAGCTCAGTCCCCTGGGAGTGAAGGTCTTTCTGTGCCTCTTTGGTTCTTGATGCTGCATTGCAGCAGCTACAGGTTTTTAGTGAAACAATGTGACAAAAATGTCAGTTCAATAAAAGCAAACATGATATAATCAAATTAAACATATTTTAAAATACATAATATTGTCCATCATTTTTTTTTTGCCATCGATGTTCTGCTGCTCTCTGTGTTGTGCAGTTTCCCATGAGCAGATTCTCTCACTAAAGATTATTATTAGAATAAAATCGGATTACAATGCAAAACCACCCAACTTGCTTGACACTTCATCGTCATACAGTTCCTCTGTCTATAGGAAGTAACCTGGCTGCAAAGAACTTTTGCATCAAGGCATCTCCGTTACGACTCAATAACTGTCCGTCTGCGTTTTATAATTGCTGCTCAAGAGGTTGAAAACTAAACAAGTGAGACCACCATACAAAAAACAAGTACCGGACCAGGACAGCAGCTCCAATAAACAGGTGTCTCAAGGTGCACAGATTTAATGAATCACAGCTTTTTTTATTCTCGTTGCGCCTCGGAGCAAACTGTACATTTGAGTAAGAGATAACAG